TAAATAAATATCAGTGCATTTTTTTCTTGCTAACTTCACATTTATTCAAGATGCTAAGTTCCCAAACCAGCAATACAAAAAGTACAGAGAAATATTAATCCAGTCGCTAGCTTTTACTGAGTTTTGAGTTTTGTATAAATGTTACTGTTTTATAAAATATTTCCTCCCAAATAAAATCTAATTTTAAACCCCTTTCTTCGAGGTTTCCAACTGAGTTTTAAGTTACATATGTTTGTATTCTAGCTAGTAAGTTTTCAGGGCAGGAATTGCTTTTACTTATGTCTTTCATCATGCTGCTTTACATATAAGAAATAAACAAGTAATTTAGAGTTGCATTTGAGCTTCAATTTCATATCAGCAAGCATATTGTCATGCCATGATATCACTCAAATGCTCTTTATTTTTATTTCCATAATAGAAACAAACCACCTCCCACTGTCTTGTGCAATACACTTTGTAGAGAGCGGATCTTTTATAAAATGTTGAACATTTTCAGCATAATCTTTGCTTCAATTTGCCCAGTCCTGTAGTCCTTATTCAGATCATCAGTTCTCAATGACTTTATTGGTGTTAACTAGGCCTGTGCGAAGCAGCTAGTATTTGCTTCGGATTCGGACGATTCGGGGGACCGTGATTTGATTTGGTAATTTGAATCACTGCCCATCCCCCGCCCGCCCCAGCTCCTAGCTCTTTGGGGAAAAACAGCCCTGACTCAGCAGGTGCTACCAGGTGGGGGGGGCATTCCCACTGCCCCACGCTGCATAGGGAGTCTGTATGAGTCCCCCGCCCCCCCCCCGCCTTGCTTCCCCAGCCCGCTTCCACAGCCCCACAATGGGTGCTCCGCCTGGGCCAGCTCGAGCCCTTTAGGGAAAAAAAAAACCCAAAATCCCTGCTGGTGGGGGGTGATCCCTGCTGCCCCCCATTGCCCCACACCATGTGGGGGGCTGTGCATGAGCCCTCAGAAGCCCCGAGGCCACTGCAGGAGCAGTGAGTCCCAGGGCTTGTCGGTTTTTATTTTTCTTAAAGGGCGGGGCACCTGTGCGGGGGCTGGGATAGTGAGGGGAGATTGGGGGCTCATGGCAGAGCCCCCTATGCAGCATGGGCCAGTGGGGGGGTAGCAGGGATCATAGATTCATAAACGTTAGGGTCGGAAGGGACCTCAGTAGATCATCGAGTCCGACCCCCTGCATAGGCAGGAAAGA